TTGCTGAGAAGCCCATCGGCAGCGTGGGGCCCCGGGACCCTGCACTGCCGCATATTCCACCAGGGCGGGTGCCCAGAACCGGACCTCAATGGGCCCCCCACTGCCTCAGGCCCCGCCCCTGGACAGGGAGCCGCAGCAGAGGGATGAAAGAGCCACATGATCATTTTGTATCAAATACTTAACAAATTATGAAAGGCAATTGTTTAGTCTGTATCATAGCATTATAGCCAAGTTTAGTGGTTATTATATGACGCACCTAATGGTAAAAGGAAATATGGTATTTGTTAAAGACGTGCTTGTCAATCAATGGTTAAATGTTTCTGATGCTAATAATAAGTAGGTCATGAAAAAGAACTGTTCAGGCAAAGTGGTCCTCGTCCTGGAAACTGGAGCTATACATGCTGCATTACATCACCATGGCAACACCATTTCAGTAACAGCACCCATCTACAAGTGTTATTGAAGTAGCTTGGCAGGGCTTAAATAAAGAGCTTTGATCTGCTGATGTTTCTTAAATGATGAATGTGAACAAATATAGCTAGTTAAGCATAAGTGTTTTTTTTAATGATCTTTTTAGCAATATTCTTTGTCCACAATGACAGTGACCATTACTGTTTAAATCTAAAGGGTATGTAAACCTAACAATTAACCTCGCCTATTTATTACCTTTTAATGTGTTTCCATATACAATCAAGAGCTTATTCACACTATAGCGTCATGCTAAACACAAGGGATCCGTGCATTTAGCGATCACTATCACACAACGCACGGTGTCATTGATTCTAATTTAAATAGCATACCAACGCAACTCCTGGTGAGCATGCATTGCAGCACACCGCAGCATGTGATAGAACAGCAATTTGGGTGGTTTTTTTTTCTGTTGTGTCAACATTTGAGTTCTTCTCTCACTTCCTACTTCTGAGAAGGAGGAAAAGCAGTGAGAGGAAATCTCCCCATTAGGCAGGAATAAAACCTGACCGGAGTGCTAAGGGTCCATTCACACCTATGCGTTTTCGCTCACACGGTTTAACTCATGTTAATGCATATCCAAAGATATGGCATTGTCTTTTATGATGATAGTTCACATTTGTTGGATGCATTGATGTGTGTCTGTTTTGATCCTTCGATAGGAGTTATTGATAGGATTAGCAGCGCATGGCAACGTACGATAATACACGATAATACGATAAATTGTTAGCAGCCAGCCAGTATGAAAAAAAACACACTTATGGGTTTAAGCAATCATTTTTTCCTAAGTATAAAATATGCAGCCAGTTTCTGTCTCTGTCATTAAAACTGAGACTCCCTCACTCTGAGGGCTTTAGGTATTTATTGTCATATTCTCAAGGGATCCCTGCGTCTCCTGCCATGTGTGACATATCTATGCTATGTAATATACCCCATTAAATAAAACATTATGGGATTACCACACTCAGAACTGCATAGATGCAGGCGGGAGAGCCTACAGATGTATGTGATCATGTGTGTTGCCCTTTTTTCCAATTTTAGATGTCAGTGCAAGAACTACTTTTGTGAGCCCAATTTTATCTATCTATCTATCTATCTATCTATCTATCTATCTATCTATCTATCTATCTATCTATCTATCTATACACTTTTAGCAGTTAAAGTGACTCATTAATCAGGAGTTAAACATATAGCTCCTCAAATCATCTGGGTGGCTACTTTGGTTCCCCATGGTCCCTGAGTGTGTTGTAAAGTAGCCACCGATCCAAGTTCCCTCCTGTCATGGACTCTAGTTTCAATACAAATTAGTAAATTAAACGTAGTAAATTAAAGCCAACTTGGAGTGGTGGCTATTTTACAAGACACACAGGGACCATGGGGAACAAAAGTAGCTACCCTCCAGAAGGAAGGAAGGACAGTGTCAGCATGAATTCAGAGATGATTTGAGGATCTACAGTCGAGTGATACACAAATAAGATACGTTTTTAATCGTTAAGATACTTGAATGCATTTTTAAGATGTAACTCCTGAATTTAGTGTCACTTTAAGTAGTGCATTTTTTTTCATGGAGGGCTATATATTAGACCAAAGAAGGGGGACAACTGAAAAGGAAAAAGACACAGAGGCATTTAGTTCCAAAAGAGGAGCAGTCCCTCCAAACGAGGGATAGTGGTTATTACTGAAAACTAAAGTAACTCAAGTGTCTCTTTAAAAACTCTGCTTCATCCCTTGAGGAAACCTAAATTGTTGAGAAACTTGTTCTCACTTTCTAGGTCAGCCCACCACCTTCCATCATATATTTCCTTTTACAGTTGAATTGTGTGCAAGATGGAGCAGCAGGTAGAATAGTTTAACAGTAAACAGTCTTACTATTTCCACTCTTGCCTTGCTGTTGTTGGTACATGCCTGCTAGCGTCTTTTGATCAATTAGGCTACATGGACTACAAGGAAATGTGCTAGTGGAGACACTTCTTGGTATCCAAATCAAAACGATTTTATCTGCCAAGATATCGGTACTCACTTGTCATGGAGTCTGTTCCTGAATAAATTAGCATTGCAAATGAGCAAGAACTGAACACTGTGTATTGAGGAGGTGGTGTGAGCTGTGCACAAATAATACATCACCCAGCAGTAAAAGAATGTATAAACGCTACTTTCACCTAACACATTGCAAAAATGTATACCACGTAGAATGCTCTCCTTCATCCTACTATAGAAACAAATTAGCTTTGGTTTTGCAGCTTTCTGTACTATACCTCTTCCTCATTACTATGAATTATTGGACACCCCCTGCTTTTGCAGTCTGTGTACTCCCTGCAAAGTGTTCTCATCTACCTTAAGTTTGCATATGTCTTTGACCAATACTTTATGTTTGTCTTGCACAATATTTGTCTTGCACAGTTCTGCTGACAATTTAGCTCATCGTGGCTTGTTACATAAATTGTTCACTGTTTGCTTCAAATTTCTGCCTGTTTTGACTAATGGCTACTAATTTGATGCTAGCAGATAGCTAGCAAATGGAAAAACACTGATGCTTGAACAGATTCTGCCTGGGCAGGAACAAAACACAAATCTACAATCTGCAATCATGCTGAATGATTTAAGGGTAATGCACATAATTATAGTGCGGGTCTTGACTCTTCCTGGAGTCCTTTTGTCTACTTTTCTTCTCCTTCTTGCATTCCTCCATCTTCTCTTCTTTCTCATTTTTTTTTCAAGATTTTGATCTTGTTTGACTGCTGTGTTTTCTGCTTACTGCATTCTTTTTAGTTACATGATTCATATCTTTGTGGCATTGTGTTGGTTTTTAAACAGGGGCATTGTTATAATTCTCCTTTAATGCCCGGTAAAACTGTTATCAACATCATAGGAAGTGAAGGAAAATTTCTCTAAAAAAAGGTCTTGGACTTTACATACATGTTAAAGTCAGAGGGTCAGTATAACATGCGAACAGCTAGAATGTTCAGAAACTGAGCAGTAATGGCAGCACCAGTATTTTGCTGATGACAGGATTACTTTAACTAATATTTTGACATTCATGGTAGTTGTTTAATACTGTTGTATATGACTTCAACGGAAATTCATAATTTTTACTGATTTTTGTTTTTTGACATTTTATAGGAAACACCATGTTGACCAGCATAGCAGAACGTATAATGTACTGCCTGACAGGCAAAACACCAAATTCTGTAGCTCCAGCAGATATATCAGAGAGCAGCGATGGTTACGATTTTCTGGAGGTGAAGCCAGGCCGTGTTGTACGAGTACGACACATTTTGCCTTCTCGCCCTGGAGGTGGAGAGGTGGAGGAAGTGAAGAACTCAGAAAAAGGCCTAATTCACTGCAAGAGGAGGATAACTGTCTATCGCAATGGTCAGCTAGTGATAGAAAATCTTGGTGCCACCCTTCGTTCTGAAATCTTACATTGCCGCAATGGGAACACAGAGCCAGCTGGAACACTGGAGGTGGAGCTTTCAGATTACACAAGTACAGGCAATGATGGCGGAGGAGGAAAAGAGAGCGACGTTCCTCCCGGCAGACGCAGAAAACGCAAGCCAAAGAAAGTGGTGCTAGTGGATTGCCAAAGACAAGTCAGCAGCTGTAAGGGCACAAATTCTGATGTAGTTCTGTTCTTCATTCATGGTGTTGGAGGGTCTCTTGATATATGGAAAGAACAACTGGATTTCTTCTCTAAACTTGGCTATGAGGTAGTAGCCCCAGATTTAGTTGGACATGGTTCAAGTGCAGCTCCACAAATTGGGGCAGCTTACACCTTCTATGCTCTAGCAGAGGATATGAGATGCGTTTTCAAACGTTACGCCAAGAAAAGGAACATCTTAGTGGGACATTCATATGGGTGAGTTGGAAAACCAAAAATGTAGAATAATCATAGCAAACATACACATCACATGGCATATCAAATTGATTTTCATTCAAAGAAACAACAACAACAGAACATCATAATCAAAGTACAGGCAAATTGTAATTTAGAAATATCAACTCTTCCTTATGGCAGCGCACCCTAATAAATGAAAAATCAGAAATGCACCTTTTTTTTAAAAAGCAACACAATTCATGTCATTGCATTATCTTCCCTACGCAGGGGCTACGCAGGGGCGTAGGGAGGAGTAGGCGGCACGGGGAAAGGAAACTCAGACTGTCAGCGTTTTCTCTTTGCAGGCTGTAATCGGCTATCCATCCCCTCTCACACAGACCGCTGCAGCCGATTACAGCCTGTGAGGAGAAACCATGCTACCATTCCCCCGCCCCCAACAGAACCCTCAGGCGGCCATTGGGCTGCCTTGTACTAGCGCCGGCACTGACCAGGTATTGTTTTACTAACAGCTGCACATTTACAAATGTTGAAAACAACTTCTGAAATGACTTTAATATTGTAACAATTATATGAAATTTTAGTGATTGGGTTTACATATACTTTGAGTTGCCTTAATTAACTTTAAGCAGGAATTGCCATTGTCGACATATTTCTGAAAGTAAAATCTTGTGCCATTCTTATCCTTGCTTCAATTCCTCAATCAGCCACTGGCCTGTAGCAGTATGATGGTGCTGACTTCATCACCTGAATACTTGTTCTAGGTCAGTACCCGGGGCAGCACCATGGCTAAATAATTGACACTAGCTATCCAGTTCTAGAATCCTGGATAATGGATTGATTCCCCTTTAAGGTTTTTAAGTTTTTTTCCATGGATTCTATTTTTCTCTCGGGTAGCCAGAAGAGGCGCTTCAACAGGAGGGGGTGTTAAAAGGGTAGGGCCCACAACCTATGCTTCTAAAGTAGTTCCCAGCCCATGGGAAGAGGGCACACTTTAGCCTTTTCGCCTTGGGTGCTAAAGGGTCTTGTACCAGCACTGATCTAAAACCTGTGAGGGTAAGTGGTTTCCAACCAAAATGAACCCTATTGTGTGTTTACTATGACTATAGTAGGGACATTAGATTACATCCTTCTTAATATTTAGGTGGGTGGCTTGATTTAGGTGGGTGGCATTTGTTCTAAAGTGCTGCATAAATTAAGCACTGAAGCAAGGATGAAGAGGACTACTAGTCATTCAGACAAATTACTCATTCATTGCAATGCCCATATTTCTATCTGGATAGCTTTCCTTTAAGTCCTTGGGCACCAGAAAATGTGAAGCTAAGCGGGCCATTTCCTAGACCTCTCTTATTTCAGAAGTATCAAGTTTTCAATGGTGTGTTACAGACACAAACAGTAAATAGTAGTTTCTTGATGTACAAGTGAAAGATTTCACCCTATTCGCTTTTCTGCCTCTACAGAATACTACAGAGTTAGAATAAACCCAGACTAATCAAACATGTATGTTTGAGTCAGACACAGTGCAGATACTTGATAGTCTTCATGTCTTGTTTTAATGTTTTTGGTGTTTTAATTATACCTCGAGTGCTCTGTGACTTCACACAATTATAGACACATGCTCACCATTATTATATTATCCAGGATTTATATAGTGCCAACAGTTTGCGCAGTGCTTTACAATATAAGGAAGACATTACAATCTCAATTCAAGACAAAATGGTAAAGTGGGCCCTGCCCGTGAGAGCTTACAATCTAAATACCATGAACATAAATGTTTCATAGACATTGAAATATTGATGCAGGACAGGGCTGTAGCTATCATGGGGCGAGTGAGGCACTATTATTTTCTTTTGTTGGTGGGCTTCGGGGTAATATTAGGGTTCTAAACAGACCCCTGAAATTTCCCTTTTGAAATAGAAAAAGAGATTGAGAACATAGAGTCCTCTGCCCATACAGGTGGGGGAGAGCAGCAGATCAGGTGGGGGAGAGCCATGCGACACAGGCTCCAGCTTCTCCTTCCTCTGCTGCTCTCCCCCACCTGATCCCTGCTGCTCTCGCCCACCTGTATGGGCAGAGGACTCTATGTTCTCAATCTCTTTTTCTATTTCAAAAGGTAAATGTCAGGGGTCTGTTTAGAACCCTAATATTACCCCGAAGCCCGCCAACAAAAGAAAATAATTTTAAAAAACACCTCCCACACCCATATTACTACACATGTGCAAAGACTAAAAATATGTTTTGGAAGAAATGAACGGAAACTACAAATGTTTTCATTAGTTTCGTCAAACAAAACACATTTTTATGCTATTTTGGATTTGGCCACCGGCGCACTCTGCGCATGCACACTTCCATCCTGGAGGCGGGGCACATGACGTCACATACCGCACATGTCTGTTGGGGGGCACAATTTTCTGTTCTTGCCTAGGGCGCAAAAGGAGCCAGCTACGGCTCTGATGCAGGAGTCAAAAGAATATAAATAGCAAGCATTTTTATGAGGTGCAGAGATATACAGTTAATGTATGATATAGGGTCTATTCCAGAAGAAAATAGTTTGGTTTTATAGTCCAAGCATGTGAACATTTACAAAGCTGAAATATGATGATTGAAGTGCCTTTCTTAATATTTATTTATTTTTAAATAACCCTTAGGGTCTCTTTCTGTACCTTTCTGGCCCACGAGTATCCTGACTTAGTCCACAAGGTGGTTATGATCAATGGTGGTGGACCCACAGCCCTTGAACCCAGCCTCTGCTCCATCTTTAATATGCCCACTTGTGTGTTGCACTGTTTGTCTCCTTGCCTTGCGTGGAGCTTCCTCAAGTAAGTTCTCAACAGATTTTTCTGGGTATTTGTCAAATGTCTAACTTAAAATTATGTATTTGTTCAGTTTAGGGTGGTAGATAATTGAAGCACTTACAAGCTTATTCAGTTAAATATTGCAAATGAGCGAGTACAGTAACCCTTAGCAACCAGTCAGTGCCGTTTTAAAGGAAACATTTGCTTGGCTCGGTGGAAGCCTGTGGGATTGGGGAAAGTAAGTAATTCTGAAATTCTGTCTGTTACGTGCCCTCTAGACTAGGGATGGCTAACGTTTTTGAGCCCGAGTGCCCAAAATGCAACGCAAAATCAATTTATTTATCTTAACGTGCCAACACTGAAAATAAGTATTTTTATCACTTTTTTAGTTTTTTAATTTACATTTTTTTTTTTTACTTTTTAGAATTTTAATTTATCTTATTTTATTTTACTTTATATTTTATATTTTATATTTTTTATAATTGATATTCATTTTATAATTTTATAATTTTTAATTTTTTTTAGCACTTTTTTATTTTAATTATTATTTCTTCTTATTTTTTTTCCTATCACACAATGGGACTAACAAGTTCCTGTGTGATAGCATTTGGCGGTGACAGGTTCTCTTTATGGAACATGTCTCCTCCAATATAGGAGTTTTAGCACATCACTGTGCTGGCTCTTCGGTCAGTAGAGTGTTCCTGTCTCAATGTTAACATGTTCTCTGCTCTGCTCCCCACTCTCCATCCTGAACTAACCTAGAAGAGCAGGGGACCCCAAAAACCACAGGGAGGCAGCCAGCGGGGAGAGAAGCAGTCAGCAGTGGGACAGACCATGGTGGGGAGGCCAGGCTTATTACAAGTGATCGACGGCTTCCCCGCTGTACATTTAGCCCTGCTTGCCCGAAGTGATACAAATTCGACACTCGTGCCTAGACTCACGTGCCACCAGTGGGGCCTCTGTATGTCCTCTGTGGCGTGCGTGCCATAGATTCGCCATTACTGCCCTAGACTAAATAAGCATTAGACCCTTATTATCTGGGGGGTGGGGGGGCACCAAAACCTGATTCTTTTATTAGCTGACCTGAACCAGCGTTAATGTCAGCTAAACAAAAAGATTAATTCTGATTGGTTGCACTGGGTTACTGCACTTTGTCTTTGCACTGACTTACTGAATAGGTTTACATGATATTTCATGAAGCCTTCTGTATAGCTTTGCCAATATTTTAGCCCCAAGCACACCTGCAAGAAAAGCTAGACTGTATCAAGAAAGGAATGTTTGGGCATAATCTTCATAGTAAGGCTGTGTAGGTAAGTTAAGTGCCTAAATTACGCTTTGCATAATCAACATTTATCATTGCAGGAGTTAAAATATTCAACATTTTATTTAACCCCTTCGTGACTGACGAAGTACAGTGTACGTCGCCAGACGCTTGGCTTGATTTAAAATGTCTGAATATGTTGCAACATTTCAATGTCAGTGTAGTTGATGTGTTTTTTAAAGTAACCATTTCCATCCCCAATACTTAAGGTGACACTAAACTAAGAAGTTAAATCTTAAAAATGCATTTAAGTACCTTAAAGTGATATTAAACCTTTAGCTTTTTTAATTATGATTGGGAGGCCCATATAGGATGCAGATCCTTGGTTTATTTTTAAAAAAATGTTTCAATCCTCGTTCTCTAGTGGATTGCTCTCCCTCCCGCCCCCTGCACGGGTGTCTCCATCCGCTAAGTTGCTGCTGTCCCAGATAGCAAGCAATTTAGCTGCAAGTTTGAAAATGACTTGCTAAACTATTGCAGACTTGCCAAGCTTCACAATTTTGTTGCACAATTACAGCAAGTCTGCATTGCAAGTCTCCAGACCAGCGAGCTTGCAGAGCTCTTGCTAAGACCTGCAGGACTCTTGCTGTAGACCTGTCAAGCAAATTTTGCTGATTTCACATAGAAAATATGATAGAAAAATATAACGACTAATCCCAACTTCTTTTGGTAAATTGAGTTTAGCTAAATATTGCATCCAGTACAGTTTAGGGTTTTAAATATCTTACATAGTTACATAGTTAATCAGGTTGAAAAAAGACACACATCTGTCATATTCATGTACTATATATCAATGGTTCTTAAGTCCACAGACCAGTGGTAGGTTAGGGAATATATACAGCCCATCTACAGACCAGTGGTAGGTTGGGGAATATTTTCAGCCAGGTAGTCTGCTGCCATCTGCTGGAACACAAACAGTAGGAAGGTGACACATATGTTGCTATGGCTTTATCCAATCCTACCAGGAGTAATGATGGTACCACATATACAGTATGTATCATGTTTAATCTTAAAGTCATAGAAGAAAATACCTACCCTTCCCGGGTTATTCTCGCCAGCCAGGCTGCTGGTCCTATGAACAGAGTTCCTGCTTTCTAGGTGAAATCCAGCGTGGACATAAAGCAACAAACACATTAATTAAAATAAGAAAAATTAGATGATAATAAAAGATAATAATGGAATAATTGACAATGAAAACAAAAGTGGAGTATCCACAGCAGTGGAATCTGGATGCCAATCTTGGCACCTTTGTCATATTTCAAAAATGGCATGCAGAAATAGGATGTGTTAGTGGGTATAGACATAGTTAGCCCTCAGCACCTGTAACTTGTTTTAAAGTGATCTGCAGACCATAGAACCACTACTATGGTGCTAATGATATGGTATAATTTCCTTGCTTTTGTCAATGTCTATGGCATGTGTAGTGCCTTAGACATTGACATGCTGTTAGATCTATTAAGTTGTTATAAACAAAGGATCACCTCCATCTAATAAATATATACATTTTACAGCAATCATGGCCACATGATCATATGTCTGTGTTTGGAGGAATTGTCCACCTTTTGGAACCAAATCACTCAGTTCTTCTCTACGACTTAGTTGTCTCTTTTTTTGGATTGATGTGTAGCCCTCTATAAAATGTTCTGTTTAAATACCAAAAATGTTTTACAGCACTAAGCCTTTTATCAAACATCTAACTGATTGTATTTGTTATTTTTAAAAAGCCAGTATAAACACAAATGTGAATCCTTAATGACTGTGTATTACGTTGTAAAAATTAAGATCACGTGTCATTGATAAATATTGATGATTTATTTCAGGGCTGGATTTGCTCGACAAGGTGCCAAAGAGAAACAGCTCTTACGAGAGGGCAATGCCTTCAATGTGTCATCTTTTGTGCTCCGAGCAATGATGAGTGGCCAGTATTGGCCAGAAGGTGATGAGGTTTATCACGCAGAGTTAACTGTCCCTGTGCTGCTTGTGCATGGAATGCATGACAAATTTGTCCCCCTAGAAGAAGACCAACGGATGGCAGAGGTACTACATTTTAAATATAGTCTTATCTATCAACTGGCTTTTACAAGTTTATTCTGTGTTTAAAAGTAAAAGACAAATTGGCCAATATGTTAAATTCACAAAGCTTTTACACCGGTATAAGGATCCTTATTTTCAAATAGTAAATAAAGTCCAATGAGATTTGGAAATTGCTAAAATAAAGACCCTTCTGTCAAAGTTTTGTGAATTGAAGGTTATGTGTTATATTTTTTAGTAAAAAACATTGAAACAAAGGGCCTTATGTATAATAATGTGTAAAAGAACAGTTTACTCTATCGCCCAAAGCCAACATTAGAATTGTTTTGTTCTTCCAATGCAAGTTAGAGATAGCTAGAGAGTCTCAGACAGTTTAATATAGAAGATATGTTATGTACTGAAATTAGCTCCTAAACTGAAGATTGCTTGGTGAAAAAACACCTATTGGCTCTACTACACTGCCTTCTAATGGTACAGCATCTGAGTTATGCAGAATCTATTGTATGGTATTTACAAAATAGCCACAGACATAGGTGCCAGGCCCACTTTACATTTCAAGAAACAACTTTTTTTAGTTGATGTTTGGATTCTTTCCAACGTTGCTCAAAAATTAGTTTTTATTGCTGTCCTTTTGGAGAGATTTGGCTTCAACTTCCATAGTGATACCCGTCAGCTAACCAGAAACTGTCAATGTATAAAATTTCTAGATAAATTAGGAAAATAGTTCCATTTAGTAGACTTATTAAAGGCTGTGTTTACCTTTCTGACCATGTTTCATGCTACACCAATATTCAGGGTGTAACATTAAACATGGACAGGTTGCAAACCCAACAACACCCTCCCACCGCCCCAGTAACCTGAATCATGGGGTTCTTCTCCCATCAGGCTTGTGTTCATTTTTTAATTCAGAACAGCTGTGCATGGCTCCGGTCACAAAACTGCTTGTACTACTCACAGATTCTTTGAAAGGGTCCCATCAGTCACTGTAACAGTTCTCAATGGAACTCAAGTGCAGTGACATCACCGCACTTATACTCCATTCTTCCTCCAGTCCATGTTACTGAATGTCCATACCACAGTATGGACATGGATGGGAGAAAGAGTTTACAAGAGCCAGAGCATTGCACCTATGATCCACTGATTGCTGTTGCTTTACTGGCTTCAATTCTAAAAAAATAAAAAATGCACATTTTTGCTTTCATGACGAAGTGTGCATTTATTATTATTTTTTTAAAAGGTGAAATTTACCTTTTAAAAAGATTAGCAATAAAAAAGGAAGCACAATAAAAGTAGTTAATTGTCTACAAATTGTAAAGGAGATATTTCTCAAAATTAACACAGGCTGCAAACCGGACAATAGCCTCTACATTCGGCCATGCACATGTTAACGCCAGTACCAGCGTTTACATTTGTGCAGCTGCGCATAGCATTTTCTATCCATACAAGCCTTTGCTTGGTCTCCCAGTCATTGCAAATAGAGGCACATTTTATGCTGTATGCCTATACGCCTATATTTGCACCAATGTCCATGAGCCTATAAGTTGCTTATGTCACAGAATAATAAAAAAATGATACTGTACATAATAAAATAACACATTTTGGGAAAAATGTCTGCACAAGGCCTATTTATTAAGGATGAATGGTCGGTTCACCACTTTTTTTTCCAAATCCCTGTCTACTTTGAGATTGCAAGGCTTGATAATATTGATTATATTTCATATGAATAAAGACTTTTGCCACTGAAGTGTATTGGCTGAGTATGCTTCTACTAAAGTGTCATAACACAGGACTCAGGAAGCTGTTTGTCTGTAGTGCAACATCAAATGCCTCAGAAATATACAACACATGGGAAAAATATGTAAAGCATATTGAGGGATGTTCATTAAGCAAATTGGCACCAAATTTAGACACAAATTAGTCTCCCTATCAGCTAAGATCTGTGCAACAGTTTTTACGGGAATTTGTGTCCCCTGTACCTGTAATCCTGGGCAGCAAACTGCAACAGGTTTTCACAGGCCTGTGACTGATTTACCACTGGAGATTAAACCGATCTTTTACTCAAAACAGACACACAATTAAGAATTGGTCGGGGTCAGGTTCTTTCTGTAATAGGGTTATTTCGGTGATATAAATCCAGGGCCGTCCCTATAGTGAAGCATCTTGAAGCAGTTGCCTTAGGCATCTCTTTGGGTCACATGAAGGCTCTTAGCAAAAGCTCTTAGCAACCTGTGGCCGGCGTCCCACCCAGCTACTGGCAACCAGTGATGTCACTGACTGCCAAGAGCTAAGCAGGACGCTCTGGTCAGGGTCCCACCCAGCTCCTGGCAACTAGTGATGTTAGTCAGCTGGGGGGTGGGATGCCAGACTGAGCCGGCACCAGCACATTCTAAACCACTAGGACCCCCCTTCACCCACCCACCCACCACTGCTGCCTGAAAACCTAACTACCCTCACCCCGGGCCTCAGGTGACGAAAAGTCTAGGGACCCCCCTGGATAAATCTATCTCAAATCTACCTCACTACTCCTGGTTAGCATTGCCTAGCTGTGGATAGAATTGATAAACATCCTCTAGTCTGTTTTAGTTTTGGAAAGAACCTCCAAAGTGTTTAAATGTAATGAAGCATGTGCTTGGTGGAGCACATAGCACATGCCTGAGAATTTATTCTTGTTTTTTTTTGTTTTTTCCTCACACATGCAGATCTTGCTAATCACATTTCTAAAGGTCATAGAGGAAGGCAGTCACATGGTCATGCTAGAGTGCCCGGAAACTGTTAACACTCTACTTCATGAGTTCTTCTTATGGGAGCCAGAGCTGCAGAACTCAGGTGTAGAAGAAGTTGTGACCCAGGAAGCTGTGAACGAATGAGGAGGAAAAAGAAGCACCTGACCATGCTGAGAAACAGAAGAGAGACTTTTCTGCTTTTATGCCAAACAGTGACGCAAGTCCACGTTTGGAGAAGACGTCTGCTGGTTTGCAAACTGCTGGCCAAGGTTTATAGATTTTGGCTCCCAGAGAATGGCGTCCAGGGAGAATTGCGTTCCCAACAATTCAGGAACTTAATAATATAATGCAGCTTTTCAGAAGAGGTCTTCCACCAATTGGCCTCAAAATCAGCCATAGCAAGTTGCAGAAAGAAGAAAAAGCTTGTCCAAGGTCCCTTGTTGGTAACACATCAGGTTGACAGCTCCTGTAGTTACCTTATAAAGAACCTTGTTGATCATAAGTCCAAATAAGAGGAAGTACCAGAGGTTGGTTACAAGAGGAAAAGAAAATGAGAATTCGTAATTTCTATTATCAAATTTAAGACATCAACAATCCACCTGCTAAATATCAGAATGTGGATACAGACAAATTAATTACCCCTATATTGCCAAAACTAAACCATTGGCAGCAAAAGGGTTGCAAATATTGATGTATAATCCATACTGAAGCCAGACCTGTTGGCTAATGAATGACTAATGTAGAGATTGAGGAATCGCATAGAGAATATTTAAGTATAAATATTGTTGATAATGTATTTTCTGTGTCTGACATCTAAGATGGCTGTCTATCTCCTTCGGTTGTTAACATGAAGGTTGTTTCATGGCAGTATTGAATCCAAGTAAACATGTCATTTATTAATATTTCTTGTCTGTGTGATTTGTTAGTCTTTTAACTGAATTTGAATGAACCAAGCAAATTGTAAAGAAAATTGAAAAGAAGAAAATCAAAATGGTCTTAGGGTCCTATTACGATGTTCCCTTAGAAAAGTGATTCACAGTTCCCATTTTAACCCCTTCATGGCCAGTTGATATTTGTGGCTCATCGCCAGATGCATTTACTGGGAACAATTACCTGCAGGAAAACAATGCAATTATATTTTAGCCTGCCGGTTCTGACCATGCTGTTAATAGCATTCTGGTTACAACACTTATATACTTATCTACATATTTATGTAAACATTTACACACATGCTTCTGCTGATGCATGTACATGATCTAATCAAGCTTAGGCAACAGTAGATCTGTGTTCTGTGGCAGGAAAAAAGATTAGTAGAATGTAAATCTACTTTTTATTAACTGTAAAGTAAACCTGGAAATGCTAGTTGCGAAGGTGTTCTTTGGACCTACTGTCACTAATACTTTGAGTCATTGAACCTAAAACAAGCATGAATATTAGGATAGTGAGATTAAGGTCAGAAGTCTTTATCTGCAAGCATGTTCTAGGCCAGTATCTATAAGTATTGAGGCTAAAGGTTGTCATGACAGTCAGGTAACTAGCTTTATCAGAAGCAAAGATCAGTAGTGCTTTTCTCATGACAAGCTTTCCTTTTAATGTCTTACATTTTACAAACATTGAAAAGTGTCACAAAGACTGAAAATGCATCTACCATTCCCTGAGGGTGCCACTTTATACATTTTGTAATAAGGAAATGTCTACATTAAAGTTAAATGCTTATAAACATTCTTTAGATTAGCTCGAATAAATGGTTCTGTGATTTTCTGCTGCATTAACGGTTCTAGATTTCCTAGTTGGCCATAGGGGCTTAAAGTAATGGTTCTGCCTGAATGAGGCAGAATATAGCCTAGGCAAGGTACCAACTTTGACCCTGTCATTCCTTCAATTGGCATTAATAAGGATTGTATAGGCAAAGGAAAGCTGCCCTATTAACATTTGCTATACTGACATGACCCTATCAGACACCAAATGCTTACAATTACATGCTCTCTTGTGTATTGACAGTAAGGTGTTATGCTTTGACCAACTGCACTATACCCCTGGTTTACTGCAGGAGCATGAAGGTTGTAGCTGGGCCACCCCCCTGGACTTCCACCATGCCTTATGTTCATGCAAGGTTGTCATGTGGATGATCTGGCTTTTTTTTTATCCAGTATCTTAATATGAAAAATAAATGGGGTTTTGGGTTGTTTTAGAAGGACCAGCATTGAAATAAGTTCTGTTATATGCAGTATGGTATGTTTTAATCTTAAAGTAGAATGGGACCGGGCTATGGGTATTAAAGTTTCCATAGCTTTAAAATACATCACTGACCTGTATAGCTATAGCATCTGCGGAGCAATTCATCCTCAAAGTTAGAAGCAGTGAAGCTCCTCAAGTCGGACCTCAGTGTCTTTCTCTCTCCCCTTTTCCTGTGAATCTGCCCTGTGTTTACATTAGAGCAGTGGTTCTCAACCTGTGTAAATTCAGGACCCACATTTGTCCTTGGTCATTAAGTCACAACCCAAGTTACACTGCAATGGAATGCACGGCATTGCGTTACAGCGCGTTTCGATGCGGGCAGTAGAGCTGTGTGAGGGAGGTTCATTTGGGGTGCCATTCAAATGAATGGCAACGCAACACACCTCCCGAACCAGATTGCATGGTAGGTGCAATTGCGTGGTACAGTGCGTTAATCGCACAGTACTGTGAGATTAACACACTGTACTAGGGTGAACGGGCCCTCAAAAACACTGACAGACACACACAACCACAGACACAATCTCACACACTCGAAGACATTTACACAGATATACTCCCAAAAAAACAAACAACTTTTTAAGATCCACCCAGCCTCTCTACCTTATGAGCACTGGAGCGGATCCTCAGCCTGGGGTCCAGTGTGGGCTGCTGTGCTGTGATAGAGCTCCAACCATATGTGCATTGCTTGTACAACTCCCTTGTGCGGGAGGTGTAGAGGTCCCTTGTGTAGAGGTGCCAGGAGCCAGGATGTGACATCACTCCTGTCCAGGCACCTCTACAGGACACGCAAGAGAGCTGTAAGCAATGCACATTTGAATGGAGCTCCCTCGCAGCCAAGGCACCATCCCACGCCGCCTAAGTTATCTGCAATATGAATTCAGAATGAGGAGATATGCTGAGATTTTAGTTTAGAAAATGGTTGCATGTTAAAAACACCCATATGGCCTTAAGGTGAAACTGCTTCCATAAAATGAAAGTGCAAGAGACTCTCTGAGAGAAAGAGTCACTGCCTGCTGGACAGAAGTAATATTGATATTTTTTCCAAGATGGCATTTAAAGAAACCAGAGATGCCGATACGGAGTATTTGGGCGAGTACCCGTACTCGCCCAAATGCTCTGATACCTTCCCCGATACCAGAAATTTCCCTCTGACCCACCTCCTGGCTGCCTGATTGGCCGGTAAGCCAGCTCCATGCTTATTGGCTGGGAAGCCCGCTTCCCGGCCATTCAGCATCGATCCGGCCAAACAGCATGGAGCCAGCTTCCCAGGCAATCAAGAAGCCTGATTGCCCAGGAAGCCGGCTAAATGCTAGCTGAGGTACTGGTATCGGTATTCAGTATCAGTATCAGTATACTTAACAGGCGGTAAGTAAATAAGCTTGGACCGGCAGCACACCACATTTCCAAAATTGATAAGAATCATTAACAAGAGTGTCAAGAGACTGGGACTTTTCAGGTGCCACAAAGATTCAGAAAAAAAAAAGAGGCTCACTGCATGGTGGTTCTCAGACCATTGGGATCTATCTGATTCATCAGGAGTTGTGGCAATTTTTTTTATAGGCTAGAAGTATAAAAGAATAAATTCATGAATATATAAATAAATGAAACATATTTGTTACAAATGTAAAGGAAGTTAATATTACACCTACATGAAAATGTGTGTGGTAAGAGGATTGGAAGTCACAGACGCAAACCAACTCCAGAGAAAAGAAGAGGGGTATGTAAATCTGCAATTGTCTGGAACAACATGTATCAAGGGAAAAACTGAAAAGCAGTCACAATCTGGAGCAGTTGCCCATGGCAACCAATCAGCTTCTCTCTTCGGTTTGTTCAGTTAAGGTTTGAAAATGAAAGAGAGAAGCTGATTGGTTGCCATGGGCTACTGATCCAGATTCTGTTTTGATCCAGTATTGATAAATTCCCCTCACTGTATTAGTAATAGATGTAAAGACCAGTAAGCATTTTATAAATAGCCACTAGGTGGCGATATTTAAAGAACAATTAATAATAGTTATTAAAGCGGACCTTTACTCATATCTTTAAAATAACAACAAACACACCTTTAGAAATGTTTAGTAATGACAATGACAAAGAATTCTACTAATATATAAACAGTAAAAGGATAAGAAAAGAACAGATGGGCCCAATAAAAGATGAGAATGGAAGATGAATCACAAACGACAGGGAGAAGGCTGAGGTATTAAATTCATTTTTCTCCTCATATACACTCAAGAAAAAGACAGATTTAATAGAGATAAGAATGTGAGTAGCTTAGTGCATAAGATACCACAGTGGTTGACAGAAGCCAGGGTTCAACAAAGACTGGAAAAACGTAAAGCAAATAAATCGTTTGGACCAGATAACCTGCCCCCTAGGGTACTTAAAGAGCTCAGACAGGTTGTAGTGAGACCATTGCAGAGTACTGTGCCCTGATTGGGCAAAGTCTTGCACCTGACCCGTTGGCATGGGGACAAGGTGCTTTTTCAGGGTGGAAAAGCACCCTCCCAGTGCCGAGGGCATGTGGCCTGGTATGACGGGGGGGGGGAGGCTTGCTCATCCCACCCCTTTCCTGCTCTGCCGGGCCTGTGCTTGGATCTAGGGTCTGGTTGGGAATTTTAGGGGGACCCCACATCTTCCCCCCCCCCTTTTTGGGGTTGGGGTTCCTCCTTAAAATTCCTACCAGACCTTAAGGGCCTGGTATGACTTTGAGGGGAACCCCAAGCACTTTTTTTTTAAAATTGTAACTTGAGGGCCCCTCCTAAAATACTTACCAGACCTAAAGGGTCTGGTTTGACTTTTGGGGGGAGCCCTATGCTTTTCTAATTGTTTTAAATGGGGTTCCTCCTAACTTTCCTACCAGACCTAAAGGGTCTGGTATTGTTTGGGAGGGGCAACCGCCAATTGCGTGC